CAGATGCTCCACTAGAGAAGGCAGAGCAATCTCCTCTTGTGCCAGTTAGATCTGATTTGAAGGCACACAATCAAAAAAACCCAAAAACAAAACAAAAAAGTGTGGATGAACCTCACAAACAAAATGCTCAGGAACAAGAACCCAGACCTCAAGAGTGTGTTCTGTAAGGTTCTACTTATCTTGAATTCAAAAGAGGCAAAACCAATCGATAGTGACAGATAACATTTGTTACCAACAGCGGTGAGTGACAATAGCTGGGATAAGACTTCTGGAGTGCTGGTACCATTCTCTTTGTATCAGGACAGTGGTAAAACAGGTGTAAAAAATTCATCAAGATGTAGTTTATTATATACGGTTTTGATATACATTTTTTATATAAATGATATAAATTGGAAAGGGTGTACACCAGGGATGTGTCCTATCTCCACACCTTTTCAACATGTATGCAGAGCAAATTATTGGAGAGGCTGGGCTCTATGAGGAGAAGCATGGCATTAGGATTGGTGGAAGATCTATCAACAATCTGCGCTATGCAGATGACACAACCCTGCTTGCTGAAACTGAGGACCTCATGCACTTACTGCAGAGGGTCAAGGACTGCAATCTTCAGTATGGACTGAGACTCAATGTCAAGAAGGCAAAGATTCTCACCACTGGACCAATTGGTAGCATCAGGATGGATGGCAAAGAGATTGAGATTGTTCACAGCTTCAGTTTGCTCGGCTCCACGGTCAACACTCTTGGCACCAGCAGCCAGGAAATCAAAAAATGTATTGCGATGGGAAAGTCTGCAGTTAGGGACCTCTCTGAAGTACTCAAGAGCAACGGTGTCTCTCTGGAGACTAAGGGGCGCCTGATACAGGCCATGGTCTTTGCAATCGCTTGTTATGCATCAGAGAGTTGGACAATGACTAGCAAGGATAGAAGGAGAACTGACACCTTTGAGCTGTGGTGCTGGAGAAGAGTATTGAATGTACCACGGACTGCCAAGAAAACAAACAGATCCATCCTAAAGAGGGTTAAACCAGGCTACGCCTTGGAGGCAAGGATTCTGGGGCTTCGTCTGACATACTTTGGGCATGCTATAAGGAGAGACAGGTCTTTAGAGAGGGACATCATGCTTGGGAGGGTGGAGGGACAGCACAGGAGGAGAAGACCCTCTATGAGGTGGATTGATTCAGTGACTGGGGTAATCGGGATGGGTATGTCAGAGGCAATGAGATTGGCACAGGATAGAGCACGGTTTAGGGCTGTTGTACATAGGGTCGCTATGAGTCGCAAACGACTCGACGGCACATAACAACAACAACAACAAATATTTCTGCATGCATGCTATATTTCAAGACACTGTACTTCAAAAAATATAAGAAAAAAAAAAACTCAATAAGCCAATAAAGTCAATGTCAACTCCGAGCTGACTCCACAGGACAGAGTAGAAAAGCTGCAATGGGTTTCCTAGGTTGTAATCTTTGAAGATGCAGACTCTTAATCTTTCTCTCGCGGAGAGGCTGGCGGGACTGAACGCACTGATTGTTCAGTTTGTCACTGAGCGCTTCAACCACTCTCACCGGGGCTCTTTACTGTCATATAAAATACACTCCAAATGCAAATGGAAACTTTCACAACAAAATACTCTTCACCACACAAATTTCACCACAAATTATTATCTAGAATTTATAACTTATATGGATATCCCATTATACACCTGTTGATATCTCAAAATGCACTTCTTAAGCATCAGATACCAAATGTGAAAGCAGGAATATTGGAGGCAAGTTTTCCCTCAAAGGAAATAGGAAACTATAATGAACTGGAAATCAAAGTTACAAAATTGGCCTAATCAAGATCTTTTCATTTTGGCAAACAGAGAGCGAGTGATCCAGACATGAAAATACGGTAAACAGAAACAAGTCTTCAGAGAAACAGGGCATAATTTCACTGAAATGTGACCCTTGATTATCTACCCCTTGCTCCATCTGATTTTTGTTTAGTGTTTATCAGAACCAGTGTGAGTCAGGGCATGAACACGACAGCTTGTTGACAGACACTGGTGCGTACTGAGCTTAGTTACAGAACCACCACATCAAACAACCACCAGGTGGAAATCCAATATGTAAACAGATAACTGTAACCGCTCTCACTCTTGATAAAATGTTAAGCTGTGGGGCATGGGGGCTCCAGAGGCCACTTACCAGGCCTTTCCTAGGGCCCCAGGAAGAACCTAGATGATCCTCCGCACCATGCTCACTTCATGATCACCAGAAATGACTCTATCAATCTGGAAGGTAAAAAAGGAGCCGTTTCCTCTCTCGCCTTTTCCAGATTTATCCCATTCCAAAGGTGTACATGGCGCAAGATAACTTTCTGAAATGGAAATGGGTCGTTCTGGTTTGTATGGAGCTAAGGGAGCAACCAGAGAAGATCATTCTATTGTATGTATCACAGCCCACTCACGGACCCAGGTTTTCATTTTCTTAATACTGTATTAGGAAACTTGGCAGAGCAACAGTTAAACACTTGCTGCTAACAAAAAAGATAGAAATTTGAACCTATCCAGAGTCTCCAACTTAGCCAGAAATCCAAGGAAAAAGACCTGGAGACCAGAACTTCAAAAGATTACAACCTAGTAAACCATTCTTCTCTGTCATGTGATATCCCTGTGAGTCAAGAGCAACTCAATGGCACTCACGATACCATGGTTCTTCTACACAACAGGACTGATTAGGTTAGGTTCTCTTTCTTTCTAATTCCCAGTTTTCAACTTGGTACCTTAAATGCCATGATGAATTTTTAGGAAGACACAAGTATTTTCAGTTCTCCACAGTGCCTGGACATGGTTTACTTGTTCATTTGCTTATCTGTTCTGCTATGTACTGTGCATTTGGCTTCCATGTCAATCCTAACCAGCAAGTGACCATTTAGAAAAGACAAGTACACGTTTGTTTGGTTTTTTTCATTTCAAAGAACATCTACAGAGATTATGGAATTCCATTCACTCATTGTTGCACTTTTCTCCCCCCCATTCACTCCTCTCCTTGAAAAGCAAAAGCAAAACCCCCTCATTGGTACACAATCCCCCCGCACACCCCCACCCTTCCCCCACCCCAAATATACTCCACTCTGCAACCCTCATACAAGTACACATTTTATGATCACCAAGGGATGATGAATTTATCATATCATCACAAACAGACACCAAACATAGTCTGTGTATGTTTTGTGAGATGGTCCAACCTTGACAGAAATTACCCATGGAAGGAGGCCTGGTATTGGAAGAAAAGACTGTACTTTCTCCTACAACAATCATATGCAACTGATGACCTAACAGAATTGCTTTACAATTGATTCTGTGTGTGTGTGTGTGTGTGTGTGTGTGTTGAGGTCTTCAACACAAATAACTCTCTGAAGTAAAAAACTGGAGTTTCCAATCTCTTTAACGCCTCAAGTAAGGGGCGAGTGCTCAACATACAACAGATGGTTGACAAATTAATGGCTAACTGGCCCAAAGAACAAAGCATGTTCTCACACATCCAACAAAAGGAAATGCTTCTTTGATCCCTCAAGCTATTGCTTTTAGTAATATTTTCATAAAGGCCTTTGTTTTCTAGACAACACCTTTATTGGCAATAGATCTTTAATGTAAGGTAGATATTATCTCAATTTTATAGGTGAAGAAAACAAAGCTGAAATTATTTGCACACCAGCCAAGAAGTAGCTAGTAAGAGCTCTCATTCAAATGTACTTTCTACAACACAGAGATGATTCATCTCTCTTATAGCATGCTGTGTGGCATAATCCTGTCTTTTAACACACTAGTAGACACATTTCTTCCTGCACGAAAAAAGTCTCCCACTTATTTCCCCTGTCAGGCCTTGTGGTGTGATAGGACTGCTGTCAATGACGTTGCTGTCACTCCACACCAGCAAGGGTGTACTGAAATCAAAGAAAACCTCTGAAGACAATTCCTCAGTCCTCCTCCCTCCTTCCCACCCAGCTCTCCCATGCCTCCTATCCAGACTTTCTGGGGAAGGCAAGGAGACAAGAAAGAGAGCGAGAGAGAGCTCCTATGCTACCAGCACTGAAGGCACACAAACACACAGGCTGACTTTGTTCATCTGGGGCAGGGGAGGCTTGGAGGAGGGATGGGAGTGGGCGGATAGGAAGAGGATTTATCCTAACATTTCAACAAACTGGCTTCTACTTCCAAAGCCACCACCACCAGCTAACTGACTGCTCAGGTATTACTTAAATAGCTTAACGCTTTTTGTTTTCTTTTAAAGTAAGAAGTTGGAACTGAGATAAGAAATTGATGTTCCACTGAAAAGTTGTACTTACATTGGTGGCCAAGAAAACTGAGGTGATGAAGAAGAAGAAGAAGAAAAACATCAACTAAAATTATCCTAAAGAGTTATATATTAAGAATCTGAACTTAAGGAGATGTAAAACCAAACTAGGTAAGCATATAAAAGTTTGTATCTGCCCTAGTTGATCTAATTTTACATAATAACCTCATCATATCAAAAGAGCACGGAGCGAGGAGTTTGAAACAGAGGTTGTTATGGTCCACCATGGTTCCACCATAGCCAATGGTGTCTGAGCATAGCATTATGCATCACACAGCAAACCAAATCTCTTGCACGCAAGTCTAATTTTGCAAAAGTCATGCTTCACTCAGAGAGGTAGTTCACTGACACAATGAAAGTAATACAGAACAGCAAGTTAAAGATTTGATATTAAAATTAAAAATTAAACCAGAATCTCAAGTTCACTAAGTCAAGATTTTTTTTTTTAACAAAAAACAAAAAACAGGAAAACATTCAAAAGAAACACTGAAACACAGAAGCATCACTGTTAAGAGGGATATGGTTTAAGAAAAAATAAAAAAGAGGGATATGGTTATTCTTAAAAGCATCTCTACACACTTCCGTAGAAACAAACAGAGAAAAATGCTCACAGATATCCACGCTTACATTGGTACACACACCACTCACAGACCTTACCAAAAGTGACTTCTCCTTTGCCAGTTTTGTCAAACAACTGAAAGGCCACCATGAACAAAGCATCGGGGGCACACAGGACAGATTCAAAGGCTACAAATTCTTGAAAAGATATTAATCTGCAACATAAAACATAGACAAAGCATAATAAAGTCAGTAGCTTATGGAAAATGAAAGCATGTAAAAATATACACATAATATCACCACTAAAGAGACTATTCTATTTTTAAAATACTTACATGTAAAATTCCCTTTTACATACAGTGGACATACAGTGGACTAAAAGAACAATGCACAGAACATAAATACATGACAATTTTAAGGAAAGAGTGAAACACGACATGTGCATTATAATTTTCAATGTAGCTATTTAGCCTAATATTTATTTTTCAGATCTCAACCTTCCTTCAGGCATGCTGTTGAATTTCAGAATTAAAGCTTGAACTCATTAAAGATGTGACTGAATAATAGCAAAACATCAGTATACTTACAAGACATGTAAAAACAGTTTGCAAATATTCATTACTAGATCTAGTGACCATGTGTAAACTGAACCAAGGCTATTATAAGAGGAAAGCAGGGAAATACAGATACATCTGATATGAAACATGACCCCCCAAACACTTAATGTCTGTAGTGATAGACAACACTGGTTCATAAATGGCAGTGTACAGGAAAGACAGATCATAAGGCAGGGTCCAATACAATACAGCGGAACTCTGGCCAGTAATCAAAGAAATCTTTGTGGCAGCAATGGAACTTGAACTGGTCTTGAAATGAGTAAAATCAAGTATGAATTAATGGGCACAGAAGGGAGGATATTTATGCAGGAGACATGCCTACAGAAAGGTGCACCTGAGAAAGGTGAAGCACATAGAAGGAAAATAGTGAGCAATTCATCTCATCTGAATAGCAGAGTAGTGCATAAAAGAAAGCACTGTGGGATGAAATCTGAACCAGAGGATCAAAGATGGTCCTGGAGGAAAAGTTCGTCTTTTGGAAGCAAGGAGAAATTTAAAGTCTTTAAGTAAGGTGGTGGCATGGTCAAGTCTATGGGAAGTTTCCAGAAGAGTAAGAAGGCCCAAGTTATCCTTTACCTTTCCAAGGAGTAAAATAATCCATAAAAGCTTTCCTTAATAATTCCATAAAAGAATTATTCTTTATCTCTACTCTGTGAAATAACTATTCAAATATCTAAATGATAGCATAAGAAACAACAGGTTTCTAAAGGATACAGAGAGGAAGAAACCAAGAATGTCTGTAGGAGATAGAACATTTCATTATTTCTAATATATCTTACCCAGAGAACACATGTGCATGCAGTATAAGTGTTACAAAGTTAACTTCAATTTTGTACAGAATATCTTCTGATTATAATGGGCTAAGGAAGAGACAAATCACATGGTGGGCTCCATACATGACAGAAACAAATCAAAATGACTGGAAGCTGATTCTGACTCACGGTGGGGCCCTCCCTGCACTGGGGTCTCATGTATTTTGGGTATGTTATAAGAATAATTGGAAGATCAGCAAAAAGATAAGACGATTCCCATGGAGATGCAATGACACAGTGACTGCAGCGATGAAATGAGATTCTAAGGATGGCACACCACTGGACTAGGTTTTCATGAACTGGAGTCAACCTGAGAGCACTTAACAACAACAACAACAATGCATCTCTACTGGAGGAGACGGCTTATCCCATTAAGGTCACTGCTAGATTTGAACCAAGGACCCTTCGGTTAGCACCTGAATATGCACTATGCTCTCTGTGTTATTCACCAATCCAAGCCTAATGCTCGGAAACACCAAGGAAGAGCATGTATTATCAATGTTGTCCAGCCACATCTTAGCTCTATCATCGTCTCTCTCACTGAGAACCTACGTGTAAGTGAGACAAAGGGAAGTGGCAATGGAAGGGCCTCACGGAGCTTATTACCTGCAGGTGGAGAGAAGACGGGGAGACACTCAAGTGCATATGCAACCAGGAGAATACAAGATAAGGGAGTTAACATAAAAGAGGAAATAAAATACTGAAGGTTTTACAAAAAGTAGAATGATATGTTCTGTCTAAAAGAAAGGCTTGAGGGTGGTATTCAAAGAAAAAATTTTAACATTTATAATTTAACATTTAAAAGATCTATGTAGAGATTCTCTAATCCTAACTCCTTGACTCACTTTACAGGGAAATATAAGGCTAGAAGAGGACAGTGACGTATTTACAAACTAAGGTGTTACAACTGGTGTGTGACCCCCCAAATGTCCTGGCTCCGGGGGACCTGGAATGAGAAAATGGAGAGAGAGGGAAGGGGCAAAGAGAATGCCTGACACTGAGGGAAGAGCAAAGTGAATCACTGAAGTGAAAATAGACGGGATGTGGAAGGATGCAGGAGCTGGTGAGTGTCATTTCGGTAGGGTTCTGCCACCCAGCTCAAAAATCCTTGCATTTTTACATGTGTCAGTAAAATTTTTCTGCATTAGTAACTGCTTGGTTAAGATCTTTGTTTTAATAAAAGGATGGAATTTACAGGAGAAAAGATTAGACGTGGGTTAGTAGGGGCCTAAGTCAGAGTGAAATCACCAGGAACGGAAAAGAGGACAGAGTCGGGGAAACACAGTGAAGGTGAGAATTCAGCAGTGGCCAGATGTGGGAAGCTGAAGGCAGGGGAAGAAGCCAGGATGTCTACAGGACTTCTACTGTGCACAACGGAGTGAAAGTGGAAGAATGTTGCCACCACCAAGGACAAAGAATGAAAAGGAACAAGAAAAAAAAAAATTAGAAATGAGTCTTGTTGAGAACTGAGACCAATTCTGACTCTGACTTTTAAAAGTTGAAGTACCTCAAATAATGGTGTCCAGCAGGAGGCCAAAGGGGCCAGTGGGAAAATCCTGAGACAGGCTAAGGCTGCAAACACAGACCTGGAAGCATTTGAAGAAAAAGGATGGCTAAAAACAGTCAATAAAAAGACCCATAAAGATTTCATGAAGGGATGCTTCATTTTCCTCTTAAGAAATACTTTAATGAAGTCTTTTACTCTCCTCCCAACAACGAGACAACTAGAATAGGACAAGGTTTTCTTCTTTACCCCAAATCCATTCTCTGAGCAAGTACAACCAACCACATAGTCATCAGCTTGAACTAGTTTAACTTTTAGGCAGTTTGCTACCACAGGAAACAACTGTGTCTGCTAAATTATCCTAGCACAGACACTATATTGTTAAAGGAGAATCACATAGTGCATTATCTCAATAGAGGACATTGTAATAATCCAAGTAAAGAAAGGCTTAAAATGCAATAAAGAGAGCATCTAACATCTCTCAAAACAGTAGGAAAAAGCTGAATATTTGTGCATGAACAAATCCTCCCCTGGCAATGCCAAAGTGGTTTTCATAACCATTAAGTGGCCAATGAATACTCTGGAATTTTAGGCATGTTACTGATACCAAAAAGGTATGCAATTTGGTAATCCTATTAGATATAAGTATTATACATCTATGTAGGAGGTATGTAGATGAACCATGAAATCATAATGTATTACTGTTCATCAAGATCATTTGGATTTTCAATGTAATCTAACTAGAAGGTTATCTAGAATAATTATATAGTACGAGAGTCATTTACAGCAGGGTATCTAAAAACATTTATATATATTTTAGTATAAACAGTACTTTAGCCCTGTTTTACAGATTTAATGGGTATTAGCATAAGTTACAACAAAGAAGACAAGTTTAATCAAGTTCAGAGCTGGCTTGTGAGCACACTTATTTCTATTTCCATCCCCAATGCCTTCAGTAATATTCAATTGTCCTTAAAAAGAAAGGGGGGGGGAAATCACATTGCCTGTGTAATTAGTATCTAAGGAGCAGTATTATACACTCACACACACTTGCAAGAACTAACAGGGAAGCAGATCCAGAAGTGACATTTTCACAGCCCTCAGAAATGAGGGGAAAGCACTGGTGGTTCAGTGGCAGAACTCCCACCCTGCAAGCAGAAGACTGGGGCTTGAGTCCCAGCCAGTGGTCCTCAGCACAGCCACTACCAGTCTGGTGATGGGGGGCTACGTGTTGCTGGGAGTCTAAACCAGTTTCAGCAGAGCTTTCTAAGACAGACTGGGAAGGCCTGGTGATCTAATCTGAGACTTAGGCAAAGAAGCCCAATGGATCACAACAATCTGAACCCCAAGCAACACTGGGATGGCAGAGGATCTGTAGGGTTTGCTGTTGACCTTGGGTCACCAAGTCAATGGCTGACCTGATGGCAGTCAACAATAAGGAGTCTAACCACTCTTTCACGTTTTTTTATGCTGTAAGAAGCTTTTTGAGGAAAAACAAATCACTAGAACTATTGAATTTTTTTCATTGTTGGTTTTTTGTTTTCCAAATCACTTGTCAAGAGTGCAGGCAGGTAGTTGTGGCAGCATCTGACCTCCGCTAACTCCACAGAGGGGAATATACAGGAGGGGGGGAGCCAGACACATGTGGAACAATCAGAGAACAAAATCAAATTCCACCAGGTCACACATGCCCCACCCTCCCTGACCCACTTCAACCAATTCTAACACTAAGCACCCTTCCCTGGGCTCTCACTGCTCTGCTACTGAGTGAACTAGTCACTTGCAATGCTCACCCAGAACTCACAGAACCATTCTAAGCTCGTTAGAGAATTTAACAGGATATCACTCAGGTTAAAGACAGGATACAATCCTTAGTGAGGGCAGTTTCTCAGACATGGTTAACAGGCCCTTCAACTCGCAGCCTTTCTCGGCTTTAGGTCAAAGTTACAGAGCTCTCTCCTTGCTTTCTCTCATTACCTTTGAGCTGGAATTGACTCACAGCTAACCTTCCATTGGGTTTCTAAAGCTGTAAATCACACAGGAGATTAGCCATCTTTATCCTGTCGAACCACCAATAGATTTCAACCCTCAGAGATAAGCAGCTTTGGGGTTAGCATTACAACTCCCTGTAGTCTGCACCATCAGAGCTCACCTGAATTTCTCTTGTGTACCACTGAGTGATGACTGACCCTCCAACCAGTTTTCAGAGGCAGCAAACTGCACAGGAGGGGAGGGTTCATCTTCCTCCCATGGTGCAGCTGGTGAATTCAAACCATCTGCCT